TTTTTTTTTTTAAAAAAAAAAAAAAAAAAAAAAAAAAGAAAAAGTGGTGCATAGAGGACAAGACTTTACAGAAAACACATTTCTTCACTGGATTTTCTTACACAAAGCATGCTTAAAATAACATTTTAAAAATGTGGGCAATAACTAGAATACAGCTGCAAAAAATCTCCAGCAAAAGATGCTGCTGAATGCTCTTGTTTGTTTTGTTTTCTCTTTTCTTTTTTAAACAAACAACCCACCCAAAAAACACCCCTTCCCCCCCCCTCCACCACACACAATTTAATAATAGGCTTATTTAGATTCCTGCATGTGGATTTAGGAGCTTAACTTTACGGCATTACTTGATGACTGCATAGCTGTGATGGTCCAGGAAGTATGCAAGAGGCAAGAATTTTTGAGGGTGATATCCTTTACTGGACTAACTACATGGTTGGGATAGACTTTATACATACATTTTAAAAGAGCCTTCATTTTCTCATTAAAGAGAAAACTGAACCTTTTTTTTTGAGTTGCTTCTTTGTCCTTGACTTTATGACAGCAGTTGTAGAATTAGACAAGTTGCTCAGATTTATGCAGTTGAAAATTTCTTATGCCCAGGACCCACTATGAAATGCAGGGGTTCATTGATGCAGAGGAAGTCAAGGAGACCAGCGTTCAAAAAAACTTGTCCTCCCACTTGCCTTTTGAAATTATTTAAAAAAAAAATGAACTGACTTAAGGAGATAGCAGGAATAGGAGGACAGACTAAAGGATAAAGCACTCAGGAGGGCTGGCAACTTCTAAGGGACATAGTCTTAGAAGCCCAATGAGAAACTGCTTGGACATGGTGGAAGAACAAGAATGGGAAGAGACTGATGTGGCTGCACAAGGAACTTCTAGGATGCTTCAAATGCAAAAGGAAAGCATGCAGGCAATGGAAAGATGGGCAGGTCACCAAAGAAGCTTACCAGGAAATAGCAAGAACTTTCAGGGACAAAATTAGGAAGGCAAAAAAACCCCCCTCAACTAGCAAGGCAAGCTGTGGACAAGAAGAGGTTCTAGGCTGGCTAGATAAGAAAAAGCAAGGATAAACAGCCAAGGTCAACTCTGAGCAGAAGATGCAAAGGAGGCAGAGCTGCTTAATAACTACCCAGGGCTGGTCATGGCATGCTGAGCAAAATGGCCTCATGTGCCATGCTCGGCACATGTGCCAGGGGTTGCCAACCCCTGTGTTACACCTTCAGATCAAAAAACTCAAATATAAAATGGGTGACTCCTAGCTGGATGGCAGCATCATAGAAAGGATCTAGGAGTCTCTTGGCATATCACAGACTCGCTACAAGTCTGCAGCGTATACAGCTGCACAAAGACGAACAAAGTTTTGAATTGCATCAAAAGGAACATTAGGTCCAAGACACTAGAGCCTCTTACTCAGTACTGGTTAGGCCTTATCTAGGTTACTAGGTACAGGTTTTTTGGGTAGGACTGTGCAAAGCTTCACTGGCTGTTTGTTTCCTTTTGAGCTTGAAATGGCAAAATCAAAACAAAAGGTTTTTTTTGAAAGTTTTGAAATGTTTCAAGTTTTGTGGTGGGAGGCAGGGGAGAGCCAGGGCTGCACTCTGAGCGGCTCTACAGCCCCATGTGGCTAAGTCTGGCAGGGAGTGCAGCCTTGGTTTGCCCTGCTTCTTGATGCCAGGCTATGGTCCAATTGGCTCTACCAGCCTCATGGAGCTCAGCCCCGTGGTGGGAGGTGGGCAGAACCAGCACTGCACTCTGCCTCCCGCCACAGGGCTGAGATCCACAGGGCTGCGAGATGCTCCTCCCCCAGCTGGGCTAAGTTCCTCAGCGCTGGGTCCCGGGCACCAGGTGCAGCCTCCTGTCATCCAGCAGGCAGATCAGGGGCCCACCCACACCCCTGGAAGGGCTGCAGGGGCTCTGCCAGACTCCTTCCAGGGGTGCAGGCCCCCGATCTGCCCGCCAGATCATGGGACACTGCTCCTGCTTCCCAGCTCCTGCTTGTCAGCAGCTTGAAGTGCAGTTTCCTAGAACCCCTGCACCTATCTGCTTGACACTTGGCAGGCTTCATGCCCTCACAGGCATCCCTGTGAGTCTCATCAGAATCAGGCAAGAAATGACAGTTAATAGCCTATGGACAAAATGTTGAAACAGTGAAACCATTTTGCCAGAATGGAACCGTGTTTTCAAAACTAAACGAAACACAGTTTTGTCAAAGCAGAACACTGCTGTTTTGCGCAGCTGGTTTTGGGATCTACATTTTAGCAAGGACATGGAAGTTAGACATTTCAGAGGTGGGCAACAAAAATGATGGAGGGCTTGGAAGGCAAGCCATATGAAGACAGATTGCAGGGAATAATTATTTAGTTTATGGGAAAAGCACTTAAGAGGGCATGTGAAACTTCTTTCAGTCTTCAAATTTCTGAAGGGCTGCCATAAAGATGAGGGAGAATTCCTTTTCTTTCCAGCTTCAGAAAGCAGGATGCAGACTAGTGACCTGAAGCTGTAGCAAAGTTAATATATTAAGATAAACGTCTTCACTATTGGAACAATGAGGCAGTAAACAGCTTAGGAAAGCTGTGCAATCTCAATCATTGCATTGATTGATCTAGGAGTAGCTAAGCTTATGACCTATTATGGATATTTCCCAAGCTTCTGGACTTTGGTGGTTTCTGCATGCAGCTAGGAAGGAATCCTTTTCCCTCTCCTGTTCCAACATGCCAGGGGCTTTCATGGGCCGGCCCCCCCCAACCTTCCTCAGAAGCACTGAGTTAGTTGCAGCCATAGCTGGTGGGGTTTTGTTTGTTCGTTTTGGTTTGTTTGTTTTTTTTGACTGAGCTATGCCAATATTTCTGCTGGGTCTAAAATCTGGAGGTTTCTGGCTCCACTCAGGGTCAGATTGACTGATACACCTGAGTTCTGGAAGGAATTTCACCTCGTGGTCAGATTGCAGCTTCTGATGCATTTTTGCCTCCCTTTGTAGCAACAACCATGGCCCTCTTTGGATTTCTCAAGTATATTTTAACAACCCTTGCAAATAGTAAGATATTGGCCACTGTTGTCCCCCTGCTTTACCTGTAGCAGGTTAAAGTACTACGCTCTGTGGTTGTGTGACGGGGCTGGCTGTATACTTTTAGTAATAGGTTGGATAAGGCTTTGCTTAGGATGGTTTGAATAAGGATGATCCTGCCTCAGCTGGACCAGACTAGATGACATCCAGAGCCGCACTTCCCAACCTCTTGTTTCTGGCAGCACACTTACTGGGCCCCTCCCATCCTGCAGCACACTGGCTGAATGCAGAGCAGGGGCTGGGCGTGGTAAGCAGCTGGCTGGAGCAGCAGCAGATGGGAGGCATGGCTCCAACCCAAAATCCCGTGACACACCTGGAGGTGCCACATGGCACACTGGCTGGGAAGTGTTGATCCAGACGTCCCTTCTAGTCCTATTTTAACGATTCAGAGCTGTTTGAAGCACTTCAGACGTTATGTCTGTCCAAGGCCTCTGTTGATTAGCTGCATGCTACTAAACTTTAAAACTCTATTTCATGCTGACAGTAGTCACTGACTCTGATTTAGAATAATGATTTGACAATTTCCAAAAAATGGAGGCAAAATCATGTATAGGAAAGACGCCCCAACTTTTCTTTAACTGGGAGGAAGAATTTCAGCAGACACTTCTCTAGCTTATCAGTGACCTAAAATAGAAATATGGTGGATACAGTGGGAAATACATAATAACTAAGTGTGCATTTAATGCAAAGAAATGAACTCCAGTGCCATTTGCACCAAAGTACACTGCTCCCAGGTGCAGCATCTACATCTGTATCTAGGACGGCAGCACTTTGAGCCAGAGTGGAGCAGCCTCAGGCTGGTGGGGGGACCCCGGGGAGTCAGCCCTGGGCTCTGGGTGGTGGCATCAGTGGGCAACGGAGGGGTTGGCTGGGGCACAAGGGTGCTAAAATTCAGTCCTAGCTGGCAGACAGTCCCCCATACTCTAGCAACCTCATGCTCCAGCCAGCCCACCACAGTCAACGCACTTCAGCGGAGTTAAGTAGTCCACCTTAAGATAGTATTGTCAGGTAGGTGCTATCTTACAGCAGAGTTAACTTGCTTACTGTACCCTAATAACAGTGCACATGTAGATAGCGACACTTCATTGTGGAACTAATTTGTTTACTCCACAAACTGCATGTGCAGATGTACCCAGTGAGTTTTTTTACCACTTCTAAAACCCACATGCAAAACCCTTGCATTAAGAGAATGTAACACTCTGAAAGGACAAAGGCTTGTATTTCGTTGTGAGGCTTGGCACTCTGCCATATATTCTATGAATAAATTGGCCATGACAGTTCTGACTTCACCATTCTTCTGAGAAGCAATACTCCAGCTAAGATATTAGCTGGTACAATAAGGTAAGCAAGAGGTTACAGCATGTTTGTATAAGGGCTCTGGTTAAAAAGCTTTTGTTATGTAGCATGTTTAGAAATTAAAATTATTCTACAAATAGTTCTTAAATAAAGCTACTTTTTGGGGGGGGGGGTTCTCAGTTTGAATTTCAGTTTCTGAGCCTGCAGATTTTAGTAAAAGTTAACTATTTGAAAGATAATTTAATTTATCAAACCCAAGCTATAAGCTGGTACAAGTTCTACAGAATCTTATTAAATTGTTTTTATTAAACTGAGCTTTCATTGTACCCAAAGGAGACGCCAATCGGGATTTTCTCATTGCTTGAGTACAAGAGCTCCAGTTATGAATATTGCTACATAGACTGATTTTTAAAGTGCTTTGACTGTGCTGCTTTGGAAGTAAACTCCAAAGGATTATAAATTCTGGTTTAATAGAAAGTATAATGTCATCATAATAAGTTCCCATGAGACTAGGAGAAAAGTTCATTAAAAGAAGGTATGAAAAATTGTTTTTTGCTGTTGGGATTATTAAGTGGGGGGTGTCTCATCTACTGGATTTGCTATGATGAGATAGTACTGTATTATCTTAAACTGATTAAAAAACCCAGGGCTTATGAATGTAAGGAGATATCAGTTCACAGCAAAGTATAAAAGTAAGAGATGAGGAAAACATCACAATTTGTTCCCTTTAGGTGCTGATCTAGGAGTGCATATCTAGTAAGATAGAGCCAGAGCAGGAAAGTATTTCAACAGTGGTACAGAGGGTTTGAAAAAAAAACTATATTTGCTCACAAAAAGTTTGGAAGTTCGACTGGCTGCAAGGAACTCCAGCAGCCAAAGTTCATCCTCTTTTCCTTTTGGCACACAGCTGAGCTGGGAAGAAATAAAGCAGTTGGTTTGACTAGAACCTGTAGCTAAAAACTGACTCTGATTCCCCCACTTCTCCATTCTGAATAGCCTATATTCTTCTGGTTATCAAGAGTGTGTGGGATGAAAAGGAAATAGGAAGAAAAAGTAAAAACAGTGGGAAAATTATAGAAAGCAAGAAAACTGACATGGGAAAAGAAACAAAATAGAGATAGGACCCTAAGAACAAGCAAGAGGAAAAGAATATAAATGTGCAGAAAAGAGAATAACTGTGCAACAGCATGGTATAGATGGCATACTAATCATCACAAACATGATTCCCAAGATAAATTCAAATAGAACTCTAGAGAGTTGTGGTCTTTCTAAGTTCTTTGCAAGAGAAACTGCTTTATTTTTTTTCTATAGGCAAAACGAGTGAAAAGAACTGGCACTTTCCAAGGGATGCCTCAAATCTAAAAAGGTTGAAAACCACTGTTCTAGAGCAAACACAGTGAAGTCCTATCATAAAAACGTCTTTGCTTCTGGAGGTGATTAAAGGTTCCAAGCTCAAAATGATGAACTATAAGCACGTCTACAGTCCTTCCTCACTATTTATGACTTCATTTTCTTCTAGTAGCACCAGGTCTTCCAAGGAAACTGCCTACTTTACTGCTTTTGAAATTTTAGTACCAGCTTGCCTTCCTCTTCATAACACTCCTTTAGGTTCTAGCTTCTCAATATGATGTGCTATTTTCTGTTAGGGAAGTTGGGCAATGTAAATATTATGACTATGAGATGCCTTGAGTCATGGGTCAAATTCCAGATTCCTGGAAAGCAAGTACCATCGTACCTATTTTCGAGAGAAGATTCTGGCTTATCTTCTAGACTTATCGGCCCATAAATTTTAATAGACTTCTCAGCTAAAATCTTTGGGCGTTACTTGTTATGCCATTTCATAGCATGAGTAAAAGGAGAAAACCCATTACATGAACATCAGACCGAATTTAGGGATGGATATTCCACTATTGATAACATAGTTATCCTTCAGTTTTGAGACCTAAATATATGCAAATACACAAATCAGCATTGTATGTTGCATTTGTTGATCTGTCAAGAGTTTTTGACAGTATAAATGGAAGTAAACTTTGGGAGAAATTGTTAAATTTATGGGATTGACCCTCTTGTTTTGCATCTGCTGATAGAATATCTGTCACAACGCGGGGTCCTAGGAGTGGCCGTGATCTCTCCAACGCCCCCTACCGTGCCAAGTTGGCGATCAAGCACCCTCGTTCTCGCCCACCACGTCTTTGATGGTATGTCTTTTATTAGGGAGGCTGCTTTTTGTCCCCTTGGACATGGTGCTCTGGTTTATCCTGACCCCCAGTTCTTGATAGGCTGACTTGGCGCACCCCAGCCTTATGGGCTATGCGTGGCTCCAACCTCCCCTGTACCACGCCCCAAGCCTCACAGATGTCTCGGACATTATTTTAGTCGGTTTCCTTTCTGCGCCCGCTCACTGGCACCCCCGGGCTTGTCACGCAGCCGGCGCCCAATCACTGGCGCCCCCGGGCTTGTCACGCAGCCGGCACCCGCTCACTGGCGCCTCTCACAATTGGGGCTCAGGTGGCCGTAGCCATGCCTGGCCCCCAAATCCCCTCTTCGGGTCTTAAAGCGAGTGCCCGCTCTGGGATTTCTCGCTTGTGCCCGCCCTGGGGCTTCTCACAATTGGGCCTCAGGTGGCCATAGCTGTGCCTGGCCCCTGAATCCCCGTCTTGGGTCTTCCATTCCTGTGGGGCTCAGGCAGCCTTGTCCCTACCTGGCCCCCAGTCCTCTCTGCCTCTTCTCAGGGCTGGGGTCAGTGCCCCCTGAATGTTGTGCCCTCTCCAGGGCCTCTCACAGTGCGCTTGCCCTCTCCGGGGCTTCTCACAGTGCGCTCAACGCAAGCACCCTCTGGGCTTATTGCCGGTGCCCACACTGGTGCTCCTCACAATTGGGGCTCAGGTGGCCGTAGCCATGCCTGGCCCCCAGACCTCCTTCTTAGGTCTATGACTTCAATCTGGCTCAGGCGGCCTCGGCCTTACCTGGCCCTAGGTCCAGACTGCTGTGCCCTCTCTGGCACTAGGAACCCGCACGCTACTGGGGTGCTCCCATGAGGCCTCCTCCAACCCCTTATAGCCTCACCCGATCCTCTGGTCTTATAAAACTACAAACAGAAAACTCAAGCCCCTGGGCTACAACATAAACTCCAAGCCAACTGGCTAACCCTCATTCAACTCCCTACCAGGGCTTCCTCCACCCAGTATTCTTGACCAGAAGCTGCTCAGGCCATCAGGCTTCCCTACTCTGCTTACTCTTGCAGAGCTTCTTCTTCCTTGGCTGCTGGAGGGGAACTGCCTCCCTGGCCTCAGCCTGGACTACACTTATATAGTTCAGGCCCTGCCCCCTTCCGGTCAGCTGACCAACTGTGGTTGCCCCAGCAACTGGCACCTGTATCTCTTCTTAGGAGCAGGGCACCAAAGTGCCCCTGCAACAATATCATAAAAATACATGGGCCAAGGTTGGGTGGGGTCTGAGGGGCAAACTTGCACAAAAGGGTGTTAGACAAGGATGTATTTTGGCCTCCTGGCTATTTAACCTTTATATGAACTACATTATCAGAAACATACAGGACGCTCATTTTCATCCCTCAAAATTACTAGCAAGCCCAATCCCTATCTTCATGTTCACAGATGACACCATCATACTGTCAAAAGCCCCCATCGGATTACAGAGAGCAATTACAACTTCTGAGCATCTTTGTGGACAAAATAACTTAAAGATAAATGAGGACAAATCCAAAATAATGTTTTGGAGAAGCCGTTTGATAAAATACCCATGGAACAGGGTGGGGAATCAAACTTGAAATTGTTAAAACCTATAGGTACTTTGGTGTTATGTTTACAGTTTTTCCATCATGGAAACACCACATTCATTTGCTTAAAACTAAGGCAGCCCAGTCGGCAGCGGCTATAAAGAAACTTTGAGACCACAGCAGGACTATCTGTCCAAGCTCCCACATTAGCATATAAAGCCATAGTTGTGTCAAAGCTCCTGTATGGGGCTATGCCACCAGTAATGATGTAGGCATACCTCCAGAATAAGTTTCTCAGGGCTCTTGGTCTTCTTCCTTCAACTCCTGCATCCTTCTTGAGATTGGAGATGGGATTAGATCCCATTTAAACTAATGTTATTAGAATGGCAGGATTCTAGTTTAAAATGCTGCCTCTTCTAGAGTCTTTCTTGCTCAAATTGTGCTATATAGAAGACATGAGTAATCCCCCTTCTCTTCATTTTCCAGGATGGGACACTATGTCAAAGACAATGAAAGACTCTTCTCCCCCATAGAAAAGGTCCGGGTTTTCCAGAGGTTCCAAGATATTGCCAGGCAGAATGATTTTTGCAGTGGGCAGGGCTACTTGCATTGCCCCTCTATATATTCTTTGGAAATTAGATTGTGGTGGAAGAAAGGTATTTACAGCTGGATCTCAACAATAAATGGTGAACCTCTTTGACTAGACTCAGGACCAAACAGATGCCACAGCTGGTTTGGCTGGACATAGACTTTCCATTCCAGGGGCTAAAAGATGTTGCCCAGCCTGTCTAGGAGTTTTGGAAGACACTATTCATTATGTCTTAGAATGTCCTCTATATAATGACATAAGGAGAAAGTATTTATCACCATTCTTGCAGAAATTGACATACTTCTCAAATAGAGAGAAATTAATATGGCTCCTCCAGCAAACAGATTCATATTTAGTAAACAGTCTTGCAATTTTGCTTACAAGGCTGAAGCGATCGGAGTTAAACATCCTTTACTGTTGATATGACAAACCTTTTTATTGTGTTAATTGTGGACCTATGCACAACATTTTCATAGATTCATGATCTGATTTATCACCATATTTATACTTTATTATGTTAATGCTAGGAGTAGGAATAATGCTTTTATAATGGTTTTATTATTAATTTGCATTTCTGTTATTTTTGTTTAAATTTAATATTATGGTTGTATGTCTATTTATGTTGTTTTCAGGAGCATGGCTTTCTGCTAGAATCCTTTAATAATAAATTGAAATTGATTTGAGTCATGGGTGATCTGCACTACTGGCACAGTGAGACTT